CAAAAGTCAAAAACTTCTGGAAAGATGCCTTAACATTAAAAAAGAAAATTTGCCAAAGTCGAAAAACAACTGAAAAAAGGGCGCTGTAATTACGAACCATTTCATCTCGTGTTATAAAAATCTTTAAAAAATTGTACAATTTAGTCTTGCAATGAATAGTTCAATTCTGGTACAAACAAGTTGAAATAATAAAACCTTTAGAAGTAATAGTACGTAACATGATAAAAACATTACAAGGTAAATTCATTCTCTCAATTCATCGATCATGATTCTTTTTCTGACGTTTGCCAACATTTTGAAATCATATAAAAAATGAACAAAATTAAGTTGCAGCTGCTGCTATTGAATGCATGTTGGAATGTAAGTAAGTAAGCTCGTAAGTATGTACATATGTATGTTATTTGAAAGAAGTTTTTGCTGAATGCCTTTGCAAATATAATGCGTTCAATAAGACTCAAAGAACAACCTAAAATAAGAGTCCGAATGTAGTAATTTATGAGGCCGATAAGAGCCTCAAAAAGAGTCTGAAATGGTTCATATATGATGAGGCCAAAAATTGTTTTAAAAATAGTCCAAAATGAGCCGTATATGAGGCCAGTAAGAGCCCAATATGACTCATATTGTGGCTCATTTAATGTATGAATTTAAGCTCATATAAGTCGACCTTCGGAGGAAGGGAAACACCCTTATATCGGACTCTTAAATAAGCTTATTATGAGCGTAATGGCTCCGAAATTGGACTCCTTAAAGACTCATTTATGACTCCAAATGTTTGCTGGGAATAAAATTGTTCACAATTGTTGTTTTAAAATTATATTGTTGGTAAACGTCAGACTGCCTCTGAATGGTTTTACCTTGTTATGTTTTTATCATGGTACGTACGTACGTTTGGGTAATGCCATCACTCATTCGCCATGTTGTACTTTAAAGTAACCACTGCAAATGTTAAAGCATTGATGTTTTCGTTATGTACTTATACTAGAAAATAGTATGTATTCTAATAATAATACATGTTTCGCGTTAAAACTAAACTTTATGCCATAGCAAAATGGAGAGATGATGCCACACATATGCCTACACACGAAGCTCTAAGCATATGCATGTAAGCACACTCTTGTCCTTGGCCTTATTCATCTGAACGACTACATACGGATGTCTATGCATCATTGTCGCAAAAATAACTGCAAACATTGCTGATAGTGCGCGTGTGTGTAAGTGCGCGTGTATTTACGTATGCCACCAATAAATGCTTTATGCTTTCGCAGGCACAACGGCTCTAGCGCACAAACTCGCGCACACACACAAATACAGTACATATAGGCATATAAGGAAAATTAAAAAAGTCGACTAAATATGTATGCAAATTAGATATTCATACAAAGCAGTACTCACTCTTCAATTAGCGCATTATCTGCCACTGCTGTTGTCGCTGTTGACTGGCTGCTGGTTGTATCTTTGATCAATGTCACCGCGGTACCAATGCCACGCGCCACCACACCGACATCTCCTTCCAAGTCGAAGCATTGCGTATAACCAATAACGGCATTCGCGCCCATATTAATGGCCTTGAGACCCATTTTTCGTTGTACCTTTTTGAGATGGTGAAAAATAAGGAAGAACAATATGCAATGAGCTTACAAGACAAGCAAACTATGTAATTATACAGAAAATACTTACTTGTCCCGACAATTTCAGAAACACAACCTGTCTGGCTTCATTAGAAGCGCGTGGTGTACGAATCTTATCTATCCATTGATATTCGGGATCATCGTTGACCACTAGCTCCTCAACGAAACCGTGTATCATCTGCGCGCGATAGCCAAATGGTATACATTGTGCTATAAATTGAATGCAATTTTCATTAATATATATATCTAAAAAAAAAGAATTGTAACATCTTACAGTGGAAGAATGGTATGCCACAGGAACTCTGCCTGAATTTATTTAAATCAGAAAATAGATCTACTTTGACAATCACATTGACTTCACCACGTATACCATGCATTGTATCGAAAACTGGTATCCAACCAGATAGCACTGTCCCCTTTCCATGCGAAGTCGATCCAGACATTTCCAAGCATAATGGATTCAAGCTTATATGCACCTTGCCAATAGCATCGTTTGCAGAGTATGTGTCATAATCCATCAAACGTATTTGCAATGGTTCATCTTGCAGCTCGGCATCGTCCACCTCAAACCGAAACCTGGAAAAACAAAAGCGCAAGTAAACAATAGAGTATGCATTAAAATATACATATGTATGTATAGAAATACTATGTAGATAAGTTATACTTTTGTGTACACTCTCATACAAGTTACAATGCATGAATACCATCGTTTAGTTAAGGAATGCTAGAATTTATTACTAGCTTGATACCAAACATTTACGTAAACGTCTATGCCCATGTTATCTTCAGCTTATTATCGCTAAACATTCTCTGATAGCATTTCAATAACATGATTTAAAATAAAGTTTTTAAAATTAAATGTACCCCAAAAAAGATATACATATGTAGCCATATAAATAACTAAAACAAGCCTAGTCCTACCGAGCTGCACCCACTTACCAGTCAGTATTCCACTGTGGATTTAAACTTTTACGACAAACGTCGGTTTTGTGTGTGACATTGCCCAGCTTTATTTCAACATATGCATCAGTAGTATCACTACTCCGGTCCATTACGGGCAAATTGCGGCCCGCTTTGATTTTCACACCAACTTTGCCTGGCATTTTTCACAGCTGCTGGCTATCACTTTTGATGATCCTCCGCCTCCTGACTCGTTTTAGTTTTCTTGTGCATACACATACAAACACAAACGCCTCTGCTTTTTGGCAAATTGGCCTTTGATTTAACACGCTTTGCACGCAGTTTTACTTCCTTTGTTTCCAGCAATGAATCCCTCTGCCTTTTACCACTACATTCACGATCTACCACGAGAACGGAGACTTTCCTAAATTAAATAAAATGCAATTTTTAAATGTAATTATTATTAATTAGCGAAAAATAAGAGAAAACTGCACCTCCTTTTAACACGACCAGTTTATTGTGAAGGAAAATCTTTTGCACTGTTCCCAAAATATCCAAGAGGCTGTCAAACTTTGAGAACAGTACAGGGACCATGTAGGAAATTCGGCAATTAGGCGCAACTAGATTACAAGTATAAAGCGAAGCGCACATTTGTGCGATTCTTTCGTTGCGAATACATTGCGAGTTCGGATGCCAACTTCGAATCCGCAAATGTGCGCACACTTGTGTGATTTTTGCGCGTCGAGTTCCGATTTAAAACTCTCTCAATATTCCATTTTTTCGTGTATTTTTGCATTCGGCGTGTCCAAATCATACAAGATAGTGTTATTACGAACGTGTTCTATTAGTTTTTGTACATTACAATTTTTTTTCTTTACATTTATTGCTATGACACCTTTCTTCCTCTTCTTTATGCCTTCAAAACGCTGCGAGCCGCGTTTCGAACGCATTAAAAGAGAGGAACATTGAATGTGCGAAAAATTCACAGCGACGGAATCGAATTTATCGAACTAGCATTTTTAAGTCGTATCTCATTGGTCGCAGAAGTGATTCCTACACCATTCTCCTCATTTACTGAGAAATGTCAAAGGTTTTAAGTAACGTCAAGCGCAAAAAGTTTGTTGTGGAATTTCTCGCCTAAAAAGCCTGAAAGACTTCGAAAGGCGCAACGCCTGGAAAACCTACTATGGAGATTCAGCTTAAGTCCGAAATACAATAACGCAGTGGCAGTGGCAGTGGCAGTTTTTCGAAATCAGCTGTTTTTTTTAGCAAGAATGATAGAATACAAGATTGCGCCAATCGAGCTGAGAGCAACTGGCCATGACGTCAAAATATACCACAATGAGAGAGCAAGACGAACTCGACAAGAAAAAGAAGAAGCATCGATCAAAAAGCAGTATTGCCAAGTTTTGAATTTGAAAAAGCACCAAATTTTTATTGGTGTATTTTATGGACTTTATATGAATACATAATTTTATTGTAAGGATGCCGATTCAGATTAATAAAAAACAATGTTTCTTGCACAACGGTCGATTTCTTCTAGCATGATTGAAGGTGCTGCACATATTTCGTTGTAGCTTATGATTGTCACTGTGCACTGTGATTTTGTTTAAATTTTTGTAAAATTGCTTAGCACACTTACGATTGCTATAAATTTTGCTTACATTTTTTAAGATTTTCTAATTTGAAGTCTTCAAACTAAAAACAAAAGCACCAAAAACGCACCAAGCACAAAACTCAAAAATTTTCGCATTTTGAATACCCACTAAATTTGGTGCGAAAAGCATCAAGTTGGCAACAGTGAATGTTAACAAAAGTATATTATGACGTCAGCGATTGGGTGGATGCTGTCAAATTTACGAAGAGAGGGTTAGCGGTCCGCGAATGGCGCGACCTATATTTTCTGGATCGTGATTTTTAAGAAAGTGTGGTGTCCAATGAAGCGTCTCACAATACAGCAGTGGCAGCTGGCAGTACTGCTCAGTTTAGCCCAAATTCTAAATTCACTGCCACTACCTTCATCCAAGCAAACTTCGCATGCTGAATTTGACATAAATAAAATGCAGTCAAGTCACTGAAGCATAAAAGACAACAACAAAACTGTACACAAACAAAAGGGAATGTCAAAAAAAGCAGTCACTGACAACGCCGTATTGTATTTGCTGCGGCAGTGACTGCCAATATTAGCAGTAACAGTTGGCCTTAATAATGGTCTATCTACATATATATCAGCTAGCAAAGTAAATTTACGTTCTTTGGTAGAATTGTGAATGCAGCTTAATGAATGCACAATTGTTCTCGTGTATTTATTCCTTTTTTCTGTTCGACTACCCTCAGCCCGTTACCCACAATCCGCTGCAATTCTGTTTACCGCATTATGTAACTTCAAAATTTGTGAACATAAATTTCTCGCACTTGGCAACCATGTCCAAACAAGGCGGTCAATCAGGGACCACATGCAACCCTGTTTATTAAAAATCGATATCGAATGCGACGCCATATTTTTTCACAAATTTCTTCATGTGTGTTAATTTTTTCGCTCTTGGAAAATTTAAAAAAGCGTGGAATTAAGTCCTGAATATAATATGAAAATACAAGAAATATTAATTTAAGTGTATATTTTAGAATATAAGTCAAAAGTGTGTAAAATATAAGTGGGAAATAGGAAATAATTGCGTAAGAAAATTTTCACTTCATACGGTTGCCGGGTTGACTGCTGTATTGCAGCCCATAAAAGTGTAGAGAAAAGATATTTTTTTGTGTGCTCGAAATTTTCTGTATTATTTGTAAGTGCAACTAAAGTTAATATAAAATGGAAGCAGCACCCGTAACAATGGTTGCACCGATGGGTGCACCAGTACCACGTGGTGGTGGTTATCGTGGCAGAGGTGGACCAATGCGTGGAAGTTTTGAAAGGGGTCGCGGTAGAGGCATGGGTCGTGGCCATTATATGGGTCGCGGTGGCGGCATGATGGGTGGACCGCCACCACAAGGTATGGGACCAGGCGGACGTGGAATGCGTGCGCCTAGAGGGTCCGGTTATCAAGGTCGAGGAAGTTATATACCACGCGGTGGTGGCCCGCCAATGCGCGGTGGTCGTCCACCAATGTACGCCCAGCGTAAGTACAGCAGTATTAATTAGATATATATTTTTTGAAAACGAAATTCCACAATACACACAATAGCAAAGCAACATACGGGTGCTGAAAACAATAAAACAGTTTCACCTGTACCAACAGCAAGCTCGGTCACACCAGTACCAATCGCAGACGGCACAGCGCCAGAAATCGCCGCAACTAATAGTGTTGCTGTAGCACCGGAAGCCGCAGTTGCGGCCCAAGTACCCATAAGCTCTAATGGTGGTGTGAGTAGTCTACCACCAAGGGGACCACCTCGGGGTCGCGGTTCATTCTCTCGAGGACGTGGCGGATATAATCCACACTTGAATGGTGGAATGCATGGAATGCACCCTGGTGCAGAACACGGTCAAATGCCAATGCGCCGTGGTGGCCCACCACGCGGACGTGGAGGATACGGTCAATCGATGGCTCGATCGCCCATGCATTCACAGCCACACAGTGCTAATACCCAAATTGCTCCGGTACCGTCACTAAAGCGGGGCGCACCCGGTGGTCCCCCAGGTCCCAAGCGTGGGCGTTATGAAGGAGGTCCCTACTCACAAAGACCCATGGCCCCTAAATATCACCAACCTATGCAGCATGCAGCACCAATGGCTCCACCATCAAGTTATGGTGCTCCACCCAGCCATCATCAACATCAACAAAGGTACAGTTTATTGTATACTTTTTATTAAATTTTCAGCAATATATGTCATGTTCACGTATAATTTCAGCCATCACAGCTATGCAACGCATGATCAATCTCAAGCTGTCGATCCGTATGCCCAATCTTATGCAGCACCAGCTGCACAAACATACAATGGGTATGGACAAAGCGGGTATGCGTCTTCAGCACCACAAGCGAGCAGCGCATATTCAACACAGGCCACCGAATACGATCAAGGCCAATACCAGACTTATAGGTGTGTATGATATTAGATTTTTGGGTATAAGTTAATAAGTTACCGAAATATGTTTGTTTTTTGCAGCTCCAGTAGTTATGGTACTCAACAAGATACGCGATATCAAACATACGGTCAAGATTATACACAACAGTATGGCGCGCCTGCTGTTGATTATAACACTGCACCGCAGGCGGACTATTCGCAGCACGGACAGCAGGCCTATGATGAACGCGCTTATGCTGGTTATGGTAAGTGTTGTTAATGCTAAGAATAAATATTTATGAATCAGTGCCTATACGTGGGTGGTAGAACCTTTTTTTTTATATTCAAACATTTTTGCTGGGTTTCAATTCCAAGGGGTATCTAGTAGAAAGAAAATATTGAAAATAATAATTTAAATTATGAACGATAGCAAAAAAGCTTCTTCTCATGGAATTTTGCATTTTCATGTAGAAAGAGTTGCAAAGTGAAGAAGCCAATGTTTTTCATATGTGTCTTGGAGTAGCGGAAACCAAACAGTGGTGAGAACACCATCATATGAAAGCTAAAACATTGCTCTAAGTCACGCAATCATTGAAGAAATGGAGGATGACCAAGGATTCAGAAAACAAACCATGTGTTACTGTGTTACGAAGTCAGCATTAAAGCAGATTTATTGAACTATGTAAAAATTTTAAATTATGTGAGGAAGCGGTGGTTGCGTTTGTTCTCTGTTGTTGTAGCAGCATACAAGTTCCCCAAAGAGTTTTTGAGGAGTGTTGCTGGAGTGTGACAGTCCTTGGCGAAATATAAATCAGGGTCGTTCCGGTTACGTAGACCCGACTGTCGTGGGAACGCTAGTTTGTTCTCTGTTTTATATCAGTTATGGTAAAATTAAATCCATTATTTTTACATTAGGTTGAAGTTTCTATTTAGCATGATCCGATTTAGGACAAATATGTGCAGTTTTCTATGATAACTACTTGCCATTTTGAAGACAGTTCCAATATGCTGTTTTCATAGAAGCTCTGGTACCTAAACGTGTCGGTGGAAATTCGCTCCATAAATTTTTTTTGTGCTGGTTCGGTTCCCACCCACCCATACATCGAGTGTTAAGCTTATGTGCAATCGACAGCTGTCGGTTGCTTTCGACGATTTCAATAGTTTTATCGATAATACAAAATTTGGAACCGGAACAGAATCGACGAAACAAAATTTGTGCGTGATTGGCTGTTACAGTATCAGGTCCATAAACACTTTACATGTTTAGCTGCCTGGCTTGCGTTTTGGTCTTTGTAGAAGATAAACTACAAAATGCATTTGTATGTGCAGTTGTGTTAAAAAAAAAAAAATGGTAGTGCGACGGCGCAGAATGATAAAAACTATTTTTTGACGTGTTCTGCTTCACAACTTGTAGAGTTGTGATGAATTATTCAATTACTATTAATATTAAAAGTGAAAGTGAAATAGAAATCGACACTTTTATTTCAGTTTGCCATTTTATGAGGTATTTCCCTATATGCACCACAAAAAAAAAATGTGGGGCTTAACTTGAGAAACTCTAAAATTTTAAGGAAATAAAAATGTCTTCATAATTAGGTGTTTTAAAGTTATTTGACTATTTTCCAATGCAATATTACTAAAAATATGTGTGTGTTTGTATTGATAAACGAGAAGTAAAAATTATAGAAACAAATTAAGACAAAATGCACAAAAAAACCTCAGAAAAAATTGTTTCGATTGTACTTGTATTAATAACTGAAACAATAGTAAACTTTTGGTAGTCTGTGTTAAACTAAACTACATTCTTATGCGACCGGCTGTAAGTGCAATTTTGTGGGTTTGGCTCCTCGGTATATTTGAAGTGGTTCGAATGTGAAATTCTTCACAATATCATATTTCCTGATGGAAGATGCCTAGCTTTGAACAAAACATTCAAAAGGTAATAGATACGACCCAACAGAAAAATTGCGTGGGCCTTAAATTTAAATTAATTAAATCGAATTAATTAAATTTAGTACTATTGTTTTGTTTAAGCCCTAGTTTATAAAGAAACCAATATTTTTAATATATGAAACCTCAATTATTTTCGAAATATCTACACCTTTTCCAACAGTATTTCAGAAAAACACAAATGTATTTCAGAAAAGGCCAAATGTATTTCAGAAAACCTCAAATGTATTTCAGAAAAATACTTTTAGAATACAGCTATGCTTTTCTGAAATACATTTGTGCTTTTCTGAAATACATTTGAGGTTTTCTGAAATACGTTTGGCCTTTTCTGAAATACATTTGTGTTTTTCTGAAATACTGTTGGAAAAGGTGTAGAATCCACTTTTATAACATTTTTATTGGCATCCTTCATGTGAAACACTTGAGTTTCTAGTTTGTTACGAAAAATCCAGCAGCAGTACTATTTTTTTTGAACACAGCAAACGAAGTCAACCAAGCACAAATTTATCATAGCACTTTTCGTGCGAAATCTCATTGAAACTATATATTGGGAAAATAATGTATTTCTACTTGTAATCTCTATGTACATAAGAGTTGTCCAAAATACAAAGGAAAATCAATTTTTCAGAATTTTCCCGACGTCACTCCATAATAGAAGCCGCCTAACTTTTGAAGTTTTCCATATATTTTAGCAGTGCTGTAAAATTGTTAAAAACAAACACCATATTTTTACTTTAAAATTTTACTAACCTTTTTTTTTTTAATGTGAGTCACGTGGTTACGCGCACAAAGTAACCGGTATTTTCTGCATTTAAAATATATAGAAAACTTTAAAGCCCCGGTGGCGCGGTTAATTAATTGCACAGCTTCACAAAAAAAGTATTATGTGCTTTTGACATCACACTTTTTACTCTACTAAAAATCTTTCTCGTCGCAATTGCATAAAATTTTAATTGCAAATAAATCTCATTGTGCTTAGTTAAAGTCCAAAAAAATAACTAGCTGTTGTAACTATTTAGATTTAGATTTACGTTATTTTCGACTATACCTGCTAACCCAATTGTTATTTGTACCTGCTCCCACCCGTATACAGATTCACAGTATCAACAAAGCTATTCAAACGCAGCTGGTTATTATTAAAAGCGCAGTCAATGGAATGGAATGCGCCGTTTGATGGAACAGAATTCAACGCTGTGCGTAAAAAATTACAACTTTCCCGTTATAAGTGGAGAAAGAAATCACAACAAAAACAGCAGCACGTGTGCGGTGTTAATAAAATAAGAAAGTAAATGAAAATGTAGGAGTTTTATGCCAAATATGATGAGCATATAAATTAACTTCAATATTAATCGCATAGAACGTAAGTCAAATCACTTAATCTAATCACTAAAAAAATAAAATAAGTAACAAAATTTCATGCGCTAATTCAAAGAACTTCCAAACTGGGAAGTTCTGTGTACTATTTAGTACGCCACACACGTACGTATAATAAACACCCCCATCAGCAATTAGTAATTGAAGAAAGAAATCTATTCGATTTAAATGTTTAGTGTTAAGGCAGGAGAGTTAATCAATTAATTTTTGTTAAAACCTACTTTACAATAAAAGCGAAAAATGTACCGCAATTTCCCGCCATTAGCTTCCCGAAAATTCCTTAATACCCCGACCTTAGAAAAACAGCAACAAACAACAAAATATGGACAAAAGCAGAAGCTTGCTCTGCAAATATTCAAAAAAAAAATAAAAACAAGAATAAAATCGTACCAGTTATTTTAGCTTATATTTAAGGCTAAGGCTATACTATTGACGAATGATTTCTGATTTATATATTTTAAATATTTGACTAGAATACAATTTTTTGAATGACTATGCAAATAAAAAGAGAAAAACATGTGAACCCCACATTAAATTAACAAATTTTTTAATTGCAAGTAGCAATCATTCATATCTATTATTTTGTAAAATATTGCTGAAATGCGATAACTTGAATCATAACAACGTAAGCATGTTCTTAATATTTGTGTAAGAAAAAAGTGGCTTAAACAATTTTTGCAGCTGCTATCTTATTGCACACTGCAATGTTTGCTTTCTTTAGTTGTAAGTTCTAATTGATATTTTCACGCACTGAAACAACAGAAAATTGTATATTTTACGGGAAATTGACAAACTATTTTATTTGTTTAATTACATAACAAATATAGATATAGAATAATTTTTTTTTTATCAGGAATTATTATTCAGTTAAATTTTTACAAAAATTTTTTTATTTTTGTTCTCTGCAAAATTAAATATGTATCTATATGTACATATATATAGAAAATATATATCACAAACTATATCTGTATGTATCTATAAAGCAAATACACATAACTACACACACTACATACAAACTATTGCATGGTAGAACATGAGCAGTTCAATTCTGATATAGAAAAGCAACAAAGTTTTATGTTTGAGAAGGCTGCAGCACATGCGGCTAGTATTTCAAATAATAGCTACAGCAAATATGATAAAAACGAAAACTATGCTGATATTCAATAAAAGTTAAAATAACAAAATCGTTGCACCGAATTAATTTTACTCCAAAACATAAATCAATGAAAAAACAAAAACGAAAGAACAAAAAGAAAAAAAAACAATCTACAATATTTATAAACGGAAAAGTGCAATTCTTATTACAAAAGCATTGAATATTTTCGAGAATGTGTGAATACACCGCTTTGATGCGCCCAGCGAAACCAAATGCTAAAAGCTTTTATGTTTTACGTTTATGTTTAAAATCTGTTTACGATTTTGTATTACTATGGGCATAAAAAACGCTAAGAGACTAAGAACTTTACAAGCTTTAAAATGCGAACCAACTGTGATAATCCTTTCAGTATAATGGAAGGGGGAAAAAGTTAATTTTAGTGACAATGACACTTTTTTTTTGTTTGCTAGAAGATAAAGATAAGCACAAGAAGGACAATTGAAGAGTGCATTACATGCCCGCAATTGAAAATTTAAGCAGCGGTAAAATTTGATTTTTTTTATTGCTGTAATACGGAAAAAATTCTGATCTAATGGCTGTTTTCTTAAGTAGCTTTTAAAATTGATCTGCACTTTAGAATGAAATTTGTATTAAAGGGCAGAAATATGGTAAAAGCTACTTGAGAAAACGGTCCCTAATCTAATAAAAATTATTTCCTTTCCAATTATCAGGAGTGTTCTCGTATTCAAGATTATCCAAAATTGTGGAAACGATTGCATTTTTTGCGTTCTCGGAGCCAAAAAAAAACTTGCAATTTAGGTGAAATTGAGAGAGCCAAAAGCACAATTTCTAATGGAAATATTTTTACTTGCGAAAACTTGCGAGTAATGCTGGATTTCCACTAGGCATTAAATGGCAAAAATTACAAATGACAAAGTCGGGCATTAAAAAATAATTGTGTCATTTCCACATGGCATTTTTTTAAATGGTATATATTTTTTGTCATTTCAATGCCTAGTGGAAATTCGGCATAAGAAAATCAGCTGACCACAAACATATGTTCGTAAATAAACAAAAGAAAATATGGGCTTTGCGAAATATTTATTACAAATTTTATGCTTGTAAACAGAGAAAAAGGGAGTACAGTTAAAATAATATAAATTACCAAATGGACTACCTGTGGCAACTGTGGAAGTGATCAGCTGTTTCGAAACTTGCTAGTTTTTGAAAATTTTGTGTTTTCACAGTTCTATGGATATTTTTGTCTCTTTGAGAGCGAATGCTGCTAAATTCTTTAAATTTTTGCTGCTGTATAATTTTGTCTGGAGAATACGAGGACACTCGTATAGTTTAAAGATGCGAGTTGAACCTTGCCGTTATGTAGTAAACGAAGTGCCGCAAACTAAGAGTACAGTCACACGTAGCAATGCAAGTGCTTTTACTGCGCATTTCATTGTAAAATGGCGAAAGTGAAAGTCCCCTCTCGCGTTGTAAACAACCGAAAACTACTTTTTTTACCTTTTTTTTAAATCAATTTCGGAAACTAAACTCAGAAAGTTGGGCCTGCAATTAAAAATGCGCGAATCAATTTCAAAAATTAAATTACTTTTCGAATTTATTTATTTTGTTGCACTTTTCGGAATCACTTAAATCGCCACGTCTGACTGCCCTTTAAACAAAGAGAAACAAATAAATTTTCACAATTTTTTGTTAAGTTTTTTTTAGATTAGATTTTTAGACGAATTTCCAGTCTGAATATCCGTCATATGGAAATGCACTATTTAAAAATTTATTTTAATCTTACTCGGCGTTGTTTATTTGTTTTAAATCTTATGTAATTTATTTTACGTGATTTTTTACTATGCAATTTATGGTGTCTAATTTGGTGTATAAGTTGAGTCTGATGGAAGGAACTGAAAATATGTGATAAAATAGCAATTAAAGCATACGTTCGCTTAGAAAACTACTCATAACTGAGATCCATAAAAAAAGAAATATTTTTTATAAGTCCTATATATATAATTTTTGAATTCAGAATTTAAGAACTTACAGAGGTCTAAACATACATAACTGAAAAATATCTAAAATCAAAGAAAAAATGGTTCAAGGCAAACAATTTTACGTCTTTATAGAGTCCCTTATATTTAAGTTGGAGCAAATAAGTTAAAATTGTCGTCATATACGCCATAAAAAGGTACTAAATTCTGATTTTGCCATTTAAAAAATGTATGTATATCTAGATTTTTTTTTAGTAGGTACATGAAATCGCCGTTCCTAAAGAAATAACGATTTTAGTTCAAATGCCTTGTGATTAAAGTATTCTCATTAATTAGTGAGCGACCGCGTATCAACAAAATGCAAAACCGCGTATTATTTTGTAGAGAGTAAAAACACTGAGGTGGTTCACACTTGGCTGGTTATCAGGTTAGTTGGTTAAAAATTGTTGTTATTCTGTAGGGTAGTGTTGTAAACTGAATAAAAAATAAAACCACATAATCAGATAATCTGATAACCTGGCAAGTGTGAACAACATCAGTCATATTTCAAAATGGTTTTCTTTTTTGTTAAGGAATCGCATTTCAGGCTAGTATATCTCAATACGAATGGATAAGGCTTCAGCCCAGAGCTTCTGTGGGCAAATCCAATTTTTGGCAGCAAATGTCAGTTAGGCGGTTTTGCAGAACCACGATTACGCGGTTTTGTACTTTAAACGACGATATAATATTATTAGGCCAGTTTGTTTTTAATATTTAATTTCAAACACTAAACAATGAAATTCAATTACAATTCACACATTCATTAGAAATCATCAGTGTAACGAAAATGTGTAAGTAAGGTCGAATCAAAAACAAAAAAAAAAGGATCGATCTGGATCGGTTTCGACCAAAAAATCGCATTCGATCGGTAACTTGTATTTATGATAGAAAAAATTAAAAAAAAAAAAATATCTGGGTCGGTTTCAGCCAAAAAATCGCATTCGGTCGGTAACTAGTATTTATATTAGCAAATATTAAAAAAAAAATATCTGGGTCGGTTTCGACCAAAAAATCGCATTCGGTCGGTAACTAGTATTTATATTAGCAAATATTAAAAAAAAAATATCTGGGTCGGTTTCGACCAAAAATCGCATTCGTTCGGTAACTAGTATTTTTAACATAAACTAAGTATATTTATTCTTTACTTAGGGGTGGGTAGTTTTTTTTTT